AGCCAATTAGCGCCGCCGCGCGCGCATTTGCATACATAATTGTGGCGGTGCTTCTCGCGAATGGTGATCTAAAGAGGCGCAATGGGACCGCTGCCCGATAAAGCAGAGCGGTAAGTCAGGTCAGGGGGAGATAGATTTAGCGCTCTCCCCTTTAAAACCTCACCGCCGCCCAAGTTCACGGAGAGTGTGCCTGCCTGATACGCAAAACTGGAGGACTGCAACACAACATACTATACAACACTATCGTGTTTAAATTATAATTTTATCATGGATCACCTTCACTGATTAACTAAGTGTTCAACTGCTCAACACTTGCAAGTGTGCAACTGCAAGTTGAATACTTGCAAGTGTGCAACTCCTCGGTTGCACACTTCCTTAGATTGGGCGCTTACTGTGTAGGAAGTGTTCAACCGAGGAGTTGCACACTTGCAAGTGCACACCTACTGACTTGCACACTTGCAAATATTTAACTTGCAGTTGCACACTTGCAAGTATTTAACTTAGAGTTGCACACTTAGAAGTGTTGAACAGTTGAACACTTAGTTTATCAGTGTACAAGAGATTGGACACATATACATTCATGATGCAGTTTTGCAGGTTTTCTATTATCGCTGCGCGGTGACCTGAACCTGGAGGGTGTCCGGGTGAGACTCCATGCCCCACCACCCCAATACGACGCCCCGCGCGTAAGAATGGAGCGGACTACAGAAGTCAACCACAGAAAAACCATAAGCCGACATTTCTCGTACCATTTTCCGTGTTTTTATTAGACAGTCCCGAAGACTGTATCTACCAGTTGGGAAAAACCTGTAGCCCCTCCCCCTTCTTTTTCCTTGCTCTTTCTTGTTAAGGACAGGGCCGGACGCGCCGGACCGGAGATCGGGTGTAGTGGCGGTGACGATGCTTCTTGGGCAGGCCTGCGCAGCGCTCAGCGCCCCGCCGAGCCGCCGAGACCATTCCAAATTGAAGGCCAAAGTAAAAAGTTGTCGGGGTTTGGGACTAAAACGATAAATTTTGACAAGTAGTAACCTTTGGTCTAAGTCCGAACTCCCTGCGACGAAGCGCCAGTGAGCTGATTGGTCTGCTCGAGACGCCCAATGAGAAGCGCCATGCTGGAGCGCTCGCCGCTCGCCACGCGCACCGCGCGGTGCTGACAGGGAGTGACTCACTGCCGAGGTAGGTCCATATGACCCCCACTTCCAGCTCGACCACCAAAATCCATGAAGGGGCATAAATGCGAAATACGGCACTCAAGATTGGCGATTTTTTTCCAAATTGAGTGATTTTATTGTGCCTTTATCTCGGTCAGGTTATAAGCCCTTTTGATTTTGATCGCCACAGCATGATACTAAGACATCATGTTTGGGCGTGAGAGAAAAAAGGCGCCAAAAAGGTGTGAATCCGCCTGCCAAGTAGGCACCAGCTATACACACATGCATTAAGGCCTACCCCCGCCCTCCCCTACCTTCCCTGGAGTCTTTGTGACCTGGTCGAGGGAACTGTCTCTTTCTTAGCCCTGAGGGCTCCTTTTTAAACGGACTCGCAGGCGCAGAAGGGCGTCATGGTCCAACGTCCAACACCACCTGTTGCATTTTCGAGCTACGTCGTCTGGGTAACAGCCCAACAATGATCACCTTGCTCTCTGAGTAGACGGCTCCTCGTGCGCACTGGGCAGCGTGCACGCCAAAAATAGAGTTCAAGGATAAAAGTAAAGATCCATAGGCTAATGCACAATGGTATAACGCAAAAAGACGTATCAGGAACATTCGATACAGCAAGGGTGACAAAATTTTCTGAACAGTGGGTTCGTTTCTCAGGTAACAAGAACTGTTTTTTATTACTATGAAAAGGAAAAAAAAACTTCACAGTTAATTTGTGTGTTACTCTCGGTGTTACTCGTTAAGATAAAGTAAAATTGTATTACAATCGAACTTAAAATACTTTTAGTTGAGCTTTATGGTTTGCATAGTACGGGTTTTACAGCGTTGGAGCTATAAAAAACAACACAATAAAATATACACATGTTTTTGCTTTGACTGTACATGTTGTGTAACATCCAAAATTGTATTGTGTTGGTATAAAAGTATTATTGTACATAATTCAGTGCAGACATGCACTTTAATTCACATACATTTGAGAGAGTACTCAATCTTAAACGGTAGACAACTCTGGGAATGTTCGCGAGTGAAGAAACTCTTCCGCCAACTCATTGACCTGGATAATCGCGAGGTGCTCGACAGGAATGTTGCCTATAGCAACATGTCGAGCGGTGCCGCTGAAGTGGCTGTCTGAAGCGCTCCTGTTTTCGCCTACTATCCCCCCGGTTGTGCAGTGCACTTCAAGTAAAAATAACACTTCGTTGCTACCCCACAGGAGGCTCGCCCGAGGGCTCGCCCGCTAGAAGGTCTCTTATCCTCACGACAGTCCCCGTGGGCGTGGGATGCGGAAGGTCTCGGGTCTCGGGGCAAAATCCAACTGATTAGAGACGGAATAAAACTACATTCAGGTGTCCATGACAGTCCATTCCCTCAGTGGTGCCAGCCGGACACCGGACTCTTCACGTGCAGTCGATTGTGTCTGGATCGACAGCTGGGTTGTCGATGCCCTGTGTGTCGGGGATTGCCCGCTCAGCCTCTAGCCGCCTGTAGCGCTTTGGGATGCAGATCTGCGCGACGAGTCCGGCAAAAGTGAGCCCCACTAGCAGGCCGTGAGCCGCGTGAGGGCCCCACGTGGAGAAGACGCGGCTGTACGCCAGGGTGGTGATGAGAGAGCAGGGCTGCGACGGATAGAGTTTCCATGTGAAAACGTTGCGAACGATTGTAGCTGCTTTGTAATTGCAAACCAATAGCATAACACACTGTGAAAAATAGTTCTAGGTTTTACCGGAAAAAGTTTCCTTGAAGCGTGTCGTAAAATTACGATTCCAAATTGTAAAATTACAAGCACTATGTATCGACTTGGTATTCACCGACGAGTTTTATCTGTCATAAACTTACTATGTATTTTGTAAATATTAAGTAAGAATATATCGTAAACCTGCGACGGTATTTTTCACAGTGAACCCTTAAAATTGCGAAGAAATTCTTTCGCAGGCTTACAAAGCAGCCTTATCTTTCTCAATGCGAAGAAATTCTTCGCAAGGAATTGGAGGCGCGCACACACAGGGTGGTCCGTCCATAAACCCCTTCCTTTATTTTGTTTGTACTGTACCGTGCACGGTGCGGGTAAGCAGCCCACCCAAGCGCGGGACAGTACAAGCCGAATAAAGCAAATGGCCTGTGGACCACCTTGTATTTTTTCGCGGTCTATATGTAAAAATCTCACCTGCACAATCCAGTTCAGCAGTGACGCGGAGTTGCCCTCATACTCTGGGTATGTTAATTCTATGGCCCACTCGTAAGCAGGGACAAAGCAGGATGCCAGGAAAGCACTAAAAATTGTTAAAAATATAATAATTTCTTTTCTGGTTGAGCTGCTACTATAAATTAACTAGCTGTCGTCGACTCACCCCATGATGCCAACAGCCACGTATAACACCTTCATTGAGGTCAAACTTATTGTCGCCGAGTACAGCGCGAGAGAGACGAGACAGCCAAAATATGATAGGACTGAGAGTTCTCTGGAAAAGGAAAAATGTATGAGCACCTTAAGCAAAATTATAAGTTAGTTGGTAAATTACACTTACTTAAACTTTTTCGTCCGGTCTAACAAAATTCCGAAAGCGAACGTGGCAATCACTCCAGTTAACGTTAGAAGCATGGCAAGAACTCCAGTTTCTGATACATGGTCCTACAACATAACATAAACACGCCAACTGGTGAGGGTTGTTATACATTGAAAATATTTTTAGAGGGAATATCAGCCTACGTTGAACTATGACAGGTTAAAAGCCAAAGAGTACGCTTAGTACACTGACCCAGAAGTGTATGTTGCAAGCACACTGCAATATTAATGGGAGGGTTACATAACGCCATTTCCCCAAGTCAATGTACACGCTATTCAGCGTACAAAGCACACACTTTGATTTTCAGCGAGTTTCAGTGGTATATCATATACTTCTTACTGGAAAATAAGACATGACGTCTCTGTTGAGCAAAGTGGTGACGGAGACGTACACGCTTACGATAATGTTAAACGAAAGCAGCAGCAGGAGGAAGCTACCGTTTTTCATTATGCGCCGAACTGATTTAAAGTATTCTCCAGGTTGCAGTAAAACTTGGGCTGTAGCTTGCGAGCTGGATGGGGGATGAGGTGGAGCCTTCTGGAAGACTGGGATGGAGTAATTATTTAGTTTCAGAAGACTGTCACAAGGAAGAAGAATGTTGCAAGAAACAACGAATACTTCGAAACTTACAGAATAAGATGGCCAGAAGTAAAAGAAAACCTGCTACCGCCATGCTTCCGTTCAGAGTTAAAAACCCCCAAAAGTTGTCTTGCCTTGTCCACGTACCGCGCGCGGAGAGTGGTGCAAGTAGAGAACCAAGACAGACTCCACCCTGGATGGAAACACACAATTGTTGACTAACAAAATTTTGCCAATAGAGTGAAAGTGTCCAGCCGGCCCGTACTTTTTCAAAATACTGAGAAAAACAACAACAAAAAAACACACAAAAAAATTTCTCTACGATCTGTAGATTGTTTGATTTACCGTTTGACCTATCATGGTGGCTGCCAAGGCCGATGAAACCTCCTTAGCTGGAAACCATAGGGCCGCGACTCTAGTAGGTGCAGAGGTCAAAAAGTTAGTGGATGCACCTACGATAGCCTGCAAAAGATAAATATTTTAAATCCGTGTGCGCATGGTTTTCACACGCAAGATTTCACGTAACTGCGAATATGTTCACCTGCCCGACAATCACCGCCCAGAAATGACGTGGCCAGCAGCCCACAATGCGCACTGACAGCCCCAGAGTGGTGCCGACGATACCAACGGTAACAGCAGCGCGCACGCCCTAGGCAGTATGGATATTCCAGAGAATGCACGATATGTTACTTCTATGAGATAAAGAGGCCACGAGGGGCCAACGGCCATTTATTACTTACATACTTCTCTAGGAACCAGGCGGCGGGCAGCACCAGCACCATGGCCGTAACATTGTACACGAGTCCTGTCCACTCCACTTGGCTGCTGCTGACACCATAGTACTCCGTGACCACGTCCTCCAGCACGGTGTATTGTGACCACGGCATCGAGTTCAGCATGAGGACCAGTGAGAAGAGGGCCAAGATGACCCACCGCCGGCCATACACTCGGATGTCAGCCACCGAGGCGGCTGGCGTTATGATGGACTCGGTCATGCCTGCTAAGGAAACAAACACAACGCACGTAAGTATTTAAGAGGCATTATTAGTTGACGGCTCAGTATACAGAGGCCTCACGAGGAATGGAGCTGTGCGATTCTGCTAGAACGCGAGAAGAAAGCAGGACGATTGACAGAACCGAGCTTCCCTAGTTAGACCGGCGGCGGCCCCTCTCGAGAGCGACTTGACTAGAACTAGAACCAGTATGACGCGACGAATCGTCAGCCTTCTCGTCCCGAAAACCTCAAGAATAGGGGCCATTCGGGGCCATGCGGAGACATACCAGGACCGTGCTACAATGAGGACCGTTCGTCTACGACTGCCATGTTTATGGCCTCTTCAAAGGAGAGGGCTGGCAAGGTGCACAATGATCCACCCACGAAACAAACTGTATTTACGGAGGCTAGCCTAGATAACTCGAATGAGCGTCAGAAAGTATCCCGGCTGTAGAACCACGTGTGAGGGACGGCGTGCATGCCCTTGGCCGCGATACTCACAGCCGGTACACTGTTAAACCAAGTGTGAGACTGTTCTACTGTAACTAATGTAGAGCACGGTGACGCTCGCATCACATCTAGTGTAGAACCGCCCAGGTGGAACACAACCGTCATCAACCGACTAACGCCAATGGCCGTCGTTTTTTTGGCATTGGGCGTTATAATGAGGTTATTTTGACAACATTTTGACAAACATGTTCTATCTGGACCATGTTCAACATTAAACTAAATTATCACCCTCATTCTTACTGTGGTGAAATTATGTCACTTGCCCGCATTTGCCGATACGAAACTTGTTGGAGTTGAAATAGGTGAGCTCTCTTAGCGCACGGTAGGTAGGCAACATCTTGCCTGCAGTGCATGCGTGTACTGCGGGCTGGCCTACCCAAGGTCTCGCAGGCGCTAAGTTCCCGTAATTTACCGATTGAATCTGAGAAGAACGGATGAACTTTCTAAGGCGAGCTCTATAAGAAGGAATACTGCTGGCCGTTCTACAGAGCCGTGTTTTCTGCGTGTGCTCCAGGACTATCACAAAGGCCTTGACCAATCAGAGAGGAAATCTCTCGTGACCCGCTTCTGAAAGGCCACCTCCGATTGGCCGACGCTTTGTGGTGCTCCGGAAGCAGACGGTGATCCTCTTCGTCACTTTCACAGAATAGCACAATGAAACTCGAAACTAGGCGGTCTCGATCTCTAACTCGTAAAAGTGACTTCGAGATCAGGTTTACCACACCACGCGCCTGCACGAGTGCAGGCGTATTTACAGTGCGACTATGAAAGTTGGCAGTGCGCGAAGACAAGCAATCTGGCATGATTTCAGGGACCACACACACACACGTGCAAAAGCTCTAACCACATTTAGACCAGTTGACAAAATTCTCTCACCTGGTGATGTGTTTGCGTTGCCGGTATTCTTAAACTAACAGTCGCTCCAGCGGAAGAGTCACCTGGCCCGGGCGTGGTGTGGCGATGAGCACGCCCCCTCCACTAGAAAAAGAGGCGTGGAGGGGGCAAGCGCCACGCAACGCCACGACCGGTATTGCTGCTTCGCTAGGATGACTGTTAATGCAGCGCCGCGAGTCCCAGAGGCCGGACGGACGAGGCAGGCGCGTCAGCAGCAGCGGCGTACGCGCCTGACAGCTGACCGTGAAAATTGTCAAGGGGTTTGCCATTATGCTTTCCGACTGAAACCGCTGAGTAAATGTGAGGTACACGGCAAGCATTTGGCGTGAAGTTTTTGATCGATTCCAGAGTAAAATTTCAACCGTTTGACCTGCAGGTCAGGATCTGCGTGCGAATGCGCAAAAGCACATGTTTGCCACTTTTCATGTTTCATTCTTTTTAAGTTATTTTGATGGGTTCTGAGTCTTTTATCTAAAACTAGGGGGCTAGATCCAATGCCCGCTCGGTTTTCCGTAGTTAATTACGTCAAATATGAAGTTATAGTTATGTCCGACACATAACCTAAAAGGCGCCAGCATACGGTTGGCGGGAACAGCATTTCGTTAGGTGCTTCCCGGCAAATGAACTAGAAATCTGACGGGAAAACGTTTGGTGTGATAACTTACATTTTGTGCCACGGCTTGCGATGGCAGTTTTCCCTGAGTGTACAAGTAGATAGCATTACTGCGACCAGGATGAAAGCCTGGCTTCGGAGGTACACGCCTGCTTGCAAACGGAGATAAAGCTCGCCTAGCCAAGACCAGTCGTTCAGGTCAGGGCCTACAGCTGCATGAAATGGGGGATACCCCGCGCTCGAACGAGAGCTGTTCCCGCGCTACCCCACTCCCAGACGGCGTCGCTACTCCATGACCACGCGATCACGCTCGCTCTACCCCGTGTGGTTTTATCTGCAAACCAATTTGTGGCCAACGGGGAAAGGAGAAAAGGGGTAGCCGTAGGCCGTAGGAAGGGTATAAATTGGAGATTAAAAAAAGCTTTGAAATTTCGGCCTGATGATGCTCTGCAAACCCAAAGTGTGTACCGAGGGGACCTCAACTCTGGCAATCTTGTGTAAACCCACCATGACAATCTACTAAAATCTTCGGCAATCTCTAGGCAATCGAATCCGAAACTCATGCTTTTTGCCTAAATTCAGGGTGAAAGTAATGTCGTTTGCCTAAGTACAGGCGTTTTATGTCCAAAAAGGCAAATATTTGTCTTGCAATCGGGCAATCTTGTCAATCTGATGTACACTTTAAAGAAGAGTTAAGGCCCTCGCGGTGTAACTTCTTACACAAGAAAAGCACACACTATGTCCTGCATAATAGAAGGTATACAGTAAATAAGGCATGGTATTCAGGTGACACTGCAAGTTAATCGACAGTTGATTTGCAAGGTGTTTAAGTCCAATTACAGCTATATCACAAGCAGGCCGTTTAAACAATGGCACAGCTAGTGACGAAGAGAGTTAACCGTAGCGTAGGAACGTATTGGAATAATTTTTCACATTTTTATAGAATAGACGTCGCTTCGACGGAAAGTCCAACATTCCGGAAGAACGCTACTAATCGAGCAAAAGGGTTCAATAAAGAAACACGAGATGAGGGCAGCCCGTTACAAAGAACGCACGACGACTAATCGGCGCTTGCTGTGAGCGTTCACTGGGGAATATTGCTATGCAGAGTGAGCTTCACTTTGGCCACATCCACATCGGCAGGCACGCACCACCATGCGGCACACAGCAGGTGGTCGCAGCGCAGCGGGGCAGATGCAGTGCAAGATCAATACATCCGGCTCCGCCCCCTCAGCCTGCATGCACTGCCCGTGCTTCCGCAAGAAACTCTTAGGAGTTGGTCCATGAGCACGAGCGATAGACATTCAAGCTAAGCGTCTTTTTAATCTTTTTTTTTTTTCAAAGGATGCCGCTAAACATGTAAAGGAAACTTTCTTTTTCATAGCATGCCTTATTCTTCTCTCCATTCTAGCTGTCTCACCCTACGCCTACGGCGATGTCTCGACCCACTCCCGTCGTCTCATTATAGTGACAGAGACGGAACACTCCCGCGGCGGACCCCACCTGCGCAGCCTGCGCGTCACCATCCAGTTTGTCACGCGCGCGCGGAATGAGGCGACAGGTCGGGCCGGCCACGGGGCGGGGGTGGCCTGGCGCCGGGCGCCACTAGATCGGCGACATCTTTCTCCACTCTGTCACGCCCCGAACTGCTGCCTCGCCGCCGTTTTGAATTGGGTGGACCCCTTCCATTGTGGCTGATTCACCTGTCTATCGCTCTGCCATCCCCATCCATCCATCTCCGGACAAGACGTCAAGACTATGATGAAAAAGATGAAAAGTCTCCTTCCGAGAATTATTGGGCTCGTATGTGTTGTTGTTGTTTCTGAACATCACCAGTCATTTAATTTTAGAAGTTTTTTTTTTATAGCAAAACCATCCGCATATAACACTATAGTCATTTGAACTGTAAAATTGAAGTTAGTTCAAACAGTAAAACTAAAAGAGAACTAAAACGTTTTACAGTTCAAACCGCTAAACTAGTGAAACAAGTGACAGTGTTTAACAACTCCCTAAGTCAGTTGAAATTGTCGTATGCCACCATCAAAGGTGGTTCGGGGTCTTTCGCGCACCTACTGTTGCCCTTTTCTCCCACTTGAAACCGACCGATAAAAACGTTCCTTAGTCGTTGGCGACAATCTTTGCCCCGGGACTATGGGCGAGAGGGAGACGAAAACGAGTGTCGCAGAATAGGGTGGCCAAGCAACGTAACCTTCGGAATGCCAAGGTCGAGCGACGCCCCGTCACGCCACCACCAAGCGTTGCACCTTAGCGCAAGCCCCGAGCTACACAGCTCTATTTGAGAAGAAGACAAGACACATTTCCACTTTCACGTCACGTAGTGAACTTCGAGCTATAGTTGAGGGACCAATATATTTTTTCCGGAACAACCTTCAAGATTTGTTGCCAGTCTTATTATTGGTGAAGAAGGCGAAGCGACGTGAGAATATAGCAAAACACCCGCATTTGTCGCGCACGTACATTTATTGACATTTGGCGTGACAGTTTGTGACAAATGTGGTACAATGTGTAATAGATACATAATTTGCATTAACCTGCCCTTCAACCATTCTTTGCATGGGCTGGGAAAAGGCTTTTCGAAACAATATCCGCAATTTCAATAAGGAAATACGTTCTTATTCCTTTCGGAAAAGGCACAGTACGGTGATACATCTATCTTATAACTGTAATTACCCGTGACAATACACAAAGCAATGTAAGCACTGCCAGGCTAAGACAACGGGACACCAGACCACGGTGGAAGTTATCAGACAGTAGTTCATTCAAATTACTCTTCCGACATAGGTGACACTGGCCATACGCTCAAGCAAACTGAAGGCAGAGGAGAGCGTTATTGCACTCGCAAGACGTTAAACAAATACAGCCGTATCTAAATCCATGATGCTAATGACTGATTTCTGGGATTATTTCTCTCATTCAATAAAAATACAAGCAAAGTATACTTGAATATGCACTGAATATTTGCGTTCAA